TTGCAGGTCCCCTCAGAAATGGAACATTCTGGAGGTTTAATGGGTCAGTCATTCCAAATTCAAAGGGCAGGAATAAAGCCATGATGTCTCTGTTTCAAGTAAGGGGGCCCTTTGGGCTGGGTGGACAGCAGTGAATTGGGTATCATTCTTACATAGATAGCACCACTGAGCACGTGGCCTTGGTGGGCTGAAGGAAGAAAAAAATCGTAGGAGGAAAGTTTGTCAGTTTGTGAGCACTGAGCATGAGCCAAGGCTGGTTTGACCACGAGACTAAGTAGGCCATCAAACTCACCCAGAATCAAATGACCCACATTCACATTAGCTCAGGACACTTTCTTAGATCCATCACAGAGAAGCCATTTGCACTAGAGCATTTGGGAGCAATGCAGACATTGCTGAAAGTTTCATAGGAGAGACTGAAGATGTGATTTATGTCATACACACTGAAGTATTTCACTAAAAATAATTTTCTAAACTTGTCTCTGTTCCCAAGACTTTCATCTGGCCACCAGCCACAAAATTGGCATCTTCTCTCACTCTATGCTAACCATATTCCTGGCAAGTCTATTGGAGATATTGGTGGACAATTTTGCTAACAGACAGAAGATTCTTGGGATCAGATTCAAATAAACTCTCCAGTCATCTCCTGGGGCATGTTTAATATACTGTAATATTTACAGGGGGAAAAGCAAGACCTCTGTGTGTTTTTCTCTGCATTTGTGAACTGAAATAATAGCATTGTTATTCTTATCTGTGTTCCTACCTCCATTCTTGTCAGAATATCTGAAAACAATTCCCTATTCCCAGGCAATAAAAAAGTGGATAGCTTTCCACATAAAATCTGGTTGCCTCCTGTTCACTGCTTGGTTCTTGAGAAATCATACTCACTTAGGCTGTAGATCTCCTAGGCCTGGAGACTTGGGGATCAAACTGTCAGCAGTCATGGGCATGAATTTCCCCACATAAATGCCACATGAGTGCTTAAATAACATAGCAGAAACACTTTTGCTATAAATGGAATGATGTAAGCATTATGGTTTTGGTGGCACTATCTTTTAGGAGTGCCTACTGTGTTTTCACATAAATTCTCTCACTTAATTTATTCAACACAGTTTTTGGGTAAGTATTATCAACCTCATTTGACAGTGGAGGAAAATGAGGTGGAGACAGGCTGATTTGTTTGTGTGGGCCATAAAGTTAAAAAATAGAAAAACTTAGACTCAGTCTCAGGTGTCTGTTACAGGCAGTGCTCTGTACGTGCACGCACATGTGCATGTGCATATATATGTGTGTGTGTCCCTGTGCATCTATGAGCAGAGAGGACAAGGAAGAGACAGAGCACCCTCCTGGCCTTCTTTAGCAGCCTAAACTGAGGAGAGAACACTGGCCTTTCCCTATGCCTAAGGCTGTGATGGAAGTCAGAAGATGGGGCAGCAAAGCAAGATTGTGAGATGTGTGGGTGTGGCCATCCATTTTAAACAAATAAACACTTTAGCAAAACCTTCCACTATTACAAAATACACATAGGCATAAGAAAGGGGAAACATGTTTCTACTATTTTGTTTACACATTAGTCCACATGCTTCCAGAACAACAAATGTGTGCATATATACGTGGGCGTAGGATGAGGGCATTTGTACACAGCGTTCTGTAACCAGCCTCTCTGAGCTACCAGCGTCCCAGTTTCTTTGACAATAAATCGTTTACTGGGTTCCCCAGAAACCTACTTCTATGACCCTCACCTCTGCCTGGCCCTGCCTCTATGCCTGAGTTCTGCCCGGTCACACCAGAATCTGGCTGTGTTCTTTATAAAACATCGTATTTGTGAGCAAGAATTAATTTCACCTGTTGTTGAGCAAAAGCTTTCGTCTCTTCTTCCAAGTATAAAATGAATGGAATTTGAACAGGGATTTAAATTTTTTTAATCTCGACTCCAATATATACATGCACACATATGTACTATATGTTAAAGAGAGAAAAAAATGAGGAATACGTTGTCTGATATTAGGATGCAGCACATCTTTTCATAGTTTCTGAAGTCACAGTTTTTTTTAGTGGTCATGCAGGAAAGGAGGGCTCAGAGCTCCTTAGGGTCTGGCATGACTTATGGATCATGACAAAAAAAAATAGATACACGTCTGGAGTTAAGAAATAGCAGTAATTACTCTAGCACTGTAGGTATTTCAGCAACATCCTGCTACTTTCTTACATGATCTCTTGAAAAGTTATGTTTCTTATTGCATGAGGCAAGTTCCTTTCTGTTAGGTGAAGAAAGCACAGAACCATTCCCTTGTCTTGCTATTGTTGCTTCTCATATCATATTTTGCAGTACTAGGGTAGGCAAATATTCTACCAATGAGACGCACCCCAACCCTTTTTACTTTTAATTATTTTTCTTTTATATTTTGCAGTACTTTAAATCCAGGACCTTTGCATTGAGCTACATCCTCAGCTCTTTAAAATAGTTAAAAAAAATTTGTTTTTCTGTGAGACAGCATCTTACTAAGTCATTAAATTGTCCAAGCAGGGCTAGAACTTGTCATCCTCTTGCCTGCACCTCCCAGGGTACTGAGATTATAGGTGTGTACCACCACACACAGTTTAATTTTTATTTTCAGACAGGGTTCTGGCTATGTTGCCTAGTCTGACTTTGACTTGCTACTCCTACCTCAGGCTGTGGAGTAGCTGAGACCTCACATACCCAGCTGGTGTTGTGTAATAGCATCTTTCACATTTCGTTTTTCTTCCTCCCATTCAGCGGGCTACTTCACTGACTGAAAAGTGACTTCCAAAATTTTGTTGCATTGATGGGAAATTTGTTTTCATGTTGGAAATCGTAGTATATAGGCCAGTTGAGGAACGCCACGGCTAATAAATGATATGCTGAGGCACATTCATTGATATTTGATGTTCTTTATTATGTTTTCAGATATTTAACTATCGCTACCTATTTCAGGCTAGCAATAATTCATGAGAGATGTTAACTATTGCACTTTTTCTCGAAGCCTTCATAGTTTGTTGTAGTCCAACTTTTTTATAAATTAGCATAGACAACAGCAGCGGGAATGAGAAAGGACTAGCCCTATGGAGTTGGGAGAGGTTTCCTAGGGAATTAACTGAGCTTATATGCAAAAAGTTTAATGCCTATCTGGTCAGAGGAGGCAATAAATGTTAAAAGTAAAATAATTAAAAAAGAGACTAAACAGGATGTGCTCTGGTCTGCAAAGTGGAAGATCAGGGGCTTGACCTTGGATGCCAAGGTCAAGTGCACCAAGTAACTCCAAGGTTAGTGCTCTTTGTTCCACTGCACAGTTTGTTTTTCTGCTGTCAGTTCTCTAAGTCTGTTTCCACAATGAATGTAAGTGCTGAAATGCATTCTTGGAGGAGAGTGTGAAACCGCCTTCTCCGGCGTTTTAAAGACTAGGAATGTTTGGGTGTCTGGAGTAGTTTGGGGCAGTCTTGCATATTGGAGAAGTGTGGATGTGAGAGATGGTGATAGTGAGATCGGTTTTCATCCTCTTTTATATCTTACAATACATTAAAGGTGACAAAAACTCAACCGAAAGAGAAACTGTTCTCCTTGTTGGAGGTTAATAGATACCATCTTCCTAGAGAAAACCTTACAGCTTTATGGAGTAAATAATACCGTATAGATTAAAATGTAGCTGAAAAGGAAGACCAGCAGTAAAAAATAAATGATTCTGCTAGGAATTTCTCTTTGACACAATTCATCAGGGGCTGAGAAGCAACAAAATAGGAGAACTGAAAAGTCTATGCTAATATGTGTTGTTTAGTATTTACTTCTGTCAGTACATTAATCATGTCTTATTATGTTTCCCACTAAAGTTATATTTTAAAAATCCCTAATGATAACATTGATGCACTGTCCTTTGTTGTGAGCATAAAGGCTTCATTTGATGAATAGAAGTTAAGAAAATGTTTAATCTTCCATTATAGTATAATGATTGAGATTCATCCATCTGCTCTGTAATAATAATAATTTATCATGAATGAGCATGCTTATAAGATTATGGAGGCACATAACAGAAATTGGGTTCTTTCCCGTAATTAAAAAATTTTGACCTTGCCTGCTATGAACCGATGCTATGCTGTTTGACTTCTGACCATCTATTGCACCACAGACTTCCTACATTTTTCAACATTCAGATTAATGTTATTTGGAGGGTCTGGAAAATAAAAGAGGACTTAGAGTTGTAAATGCCACAAGCTCTACATTTTCTTATTTCTGTCTATTTAACATGCTTGTGGCCATTTATCTATTTCTTTTATTGTCCTTGAAGATTTTTATTTATTACTTTTTAAACTGAAGAAAATCCAAATGTTGGTTTCTTCACTTAGCTAATCTTTCTTTTCTTTTTTTTTTTAAGTTGAGTTTATTGGTACATTTTAGGTATACAGTACAGTTACATTCATCGTTGGGATCTTGTAACTTTACATGACAGGTCTTTGTTCTCTTTTTTACCCCTTGCCCCTGCCTTCCCTTCACCCCTCCTCTGCCCCTCCCCATTTACAAACACTTTATTTCCATTTTTCATTTTCTCATATTTTTTTTCCTTTTCCCTTATTACCTTTCCCCTACCCTTCCCACTTTCCCTACCCCTTTATACCTTTTGTTCCTATTTCACATTGTCAGTTATCTCATTAGGATCTTATGCACTATTATAGTTTTTCACACCAGAGAAACTATTCGGTATTTATACATGTGTGACTCATTTATTTCACTTAGGAGCACTTAACTAATCTTGACCTAATGTTTTAGATTAGAGGTAAATTTCTTGGAGTTTGGGCTGACTGCATAGGAGATGTACATGCATAGTTAAACAAGGGCGATACATTCACTTTTATTATGTAACATTTTCTTCAAGTTTTCATTTTTACCTGGAGAAAGCACACAGGTGAGTGATAGAATGGATGATTCTCTAGAACCTTTCTGGTAAGCTTGGTGTCATTGCTGAGAGGGGTTCTCTTTCTCTCCCTAGATGTGGACAGAAACTGTGAGGACCAGATGGAAACACATGACAGAGTTATTAATGATGTGGATAAAGGAACAAACAGTGCCTTCATAAATTAGCTAATGAAACTAGAAGGAGAGGTGTCATGACATCCTTGGGAACAGAGGAAAGAGCTAAGAGGCGTAAGAGCTATTGGCAGAGAAGCCATTCTATCCGGTCCTAGACGAGTTAGTTTAACTAGGAAATAACTTTCAGCTGTCTGAGTGAGTGAACTTGAGGGTAGAAAGAATTTGTTAGAAAATAAAGTACTTTTCCTGAAATCCAAAGTGCTCTAAGATTAGAGAATTAAAGATGCTAATGGTCATAAAGGGGTCCAAACAGAGACACTAACTGAGTGAAAGTCCAGTTGCCCTGCTGACTACATTATAAAAGAATACTACAAAAGAAGTATAAAAGAAGACACACATATAAAAAACTTAGTGGATTTACCATATTTTCTTTAGACCTATTTCTCTTCTGTCCAAAGCTTTTACGGATGCAGCTGCAAACTCTTTTCGTTCCTTTTGGATTTGATTCACATCCTCACAAACACGGTTCTTGTGAAATCAGTGCATATCCTCCCCCTTTGTATTTTAATCCTTGTACTGGGAATGTATAGATTTCTGTGTACTCTTAACTGTTATATAAATGACACCATACTGGACACACATCATTCAGGAACCTGTTTTTTCTCTCATCATTGTTTCCAGTATTTATCCATGTTGATCCATGAAGCTCAGTCTAACTGCTGAATAGTATTACATTGTATGAACATATCATAGTTTGTCTGTCACCCTATTGAGGAACATTCAGGTTGTTTCTCAATATTTGGCTGTTAAAAAACAATTGCAAAGAACATCTTTTTGCTTGTCTACTTGGACATTTATATTAGATTTTTCCTGAGTTATATCTGTTAGACAGGGGGTATGTAAATCATAGGCATGGACATATTTGAGTTTTCTAGATCTTGCCAAATTGCTCTGCAAAATATTCAGACTATTTTACACTCTGGCCAGAAGTGTATTCCACTGTGCCCCATTCTACACTTAAAATTTTTTGTTAGTTGATATTTTTAATATTAGAAGTTTTTATATCAGAAGAAGCTAAAAGGCCTCTTGATTCTCAGAACTATATTCAACCATGACACTTTTATTCTACTCTAATGAAATTGTTGTTCCAACAGTATTTGAATTGTGTAGCCTGGCATTTGGCCCATCTCAATCTTTTGAATACTTATAAACTTGAAATTTCTAGTGACTCAATAAATTTTCTTTTAATTTCCAGATATTTTGTGCCAGATCCACATGAGGAATTTACAACACAGAAGGGATGTATCATATCTACCACGTGGGCCAAGAAATAGTATATGGAACCTGATCTGTGCACAACAGAGGGTGTCTCTGTGGGGCCCAGAGACTCCCTGTAGGGGGTATGGGAAAGGCAGGAGTCAGCCCCGCTCAGCCTTCCCTCCAGGTAGTACAATGGGCCTTACAGCATTCTCTGCCAGTCCTGACTCTATAACCTTACCTAGCTCTCATGGCAGAGAGGGTAATTCAAAAGCCTCATACGTTTCAAAAAAACTCATGCTCGGGACTGTAACACACAAATGCAACCATTTCCGTATTCATTTCTCTTACACTGGGGAGAAGTATTCTAAGAGACACTTGGTATAGAAAGACAAATCTCCACAAGCCACCGTAGACTTGAGAGCAGAGCTTGACCTTGTGGAAGCAGACCTTAAGATTAAACCAATACATTTATTTTAGTATATGAGCTGCCGAAGCGAGCACAGCCAACACATTCATTTTACCAGCTAGCTAGCAAAGTTGCCAAAAAGCAACTAGAAATAATTTGGTCTGACCGAGTTCATGAATTGTCAGCCAGTAATGTATGTTTATGTAGATAGAAAGCTGGAATTGCAAGAAGAAAGAGAAGTAACATAAAGTAAGAATAAGTCAAAATAACCAGAAGAGCAACCAGCAGAGGCTGAACTATAGAATTCCCATCCCCTAGGATTCTTTCCAAACAGTTTAGTGGTTGTCACCTGACAGGACAGCTTCTCTCCCCTTAGCTTCTATTCTAGGACAAAACTGAATTAAAAGTTGCTAAATGGAAGTGAATAAAGGTCTGTGGCCAGAGAGACATCTGAAAAGGTGAACTGTCTTATGGTAAATACCTGAAAAGACAAACAGTGGACATATTATTTGCATTAGACCTTACTTTTTAACACCTCTGTAGGTAAGCTCAACTAAGAAACAGGAGTAGATATTCCTGATCAATGTGAGGACAGGGCTTTAGGATTTAGAAAACAGACAAAGGTGGTCACCAGACTTGAGTTGAAAGATGACAGCTCGTGGAGTCTCATTCTAGGTCTTTAGGTCCCTCATACAATTACAGAACTTGCTCCCTGTCCCCCATTTCAAACTTGTAGAATTACAAACAAATGTAAAACTCACACTTATTTAAATTATAGCCCAAATTTAAATAGTATTTGTATAAACCAGGATACTTGTGCACATGAACTCTTACAACAGTCACTGTATCTATCTTGCTGGTAAGGAAACCGAGGCTCAGAGAGTGACAAGCTATACTAAAGTTCACTCAGCTAGGAAGCAGCAAAGCTGGGATTTGAAGATGAGGCTAATGTCTTGTTCCTAAGTACTGCGTTATGCTTCTGTTGTTTAAAGCATTGTTTACTGCTTCTTTCTAGCTTTTATACAAAAAAGAATGCAGCCTTATGTTTCAATTCGATTGACCACTCCCACTTGGTTCTGTTAGCTTCTCTTGTGGTAAATCAGCTCATCAAATAGAAAAACTGAGTTTTTAAAAAAGGTTGTCATTCCCTGTTTATTTTAACAAACAAAATATAATTTTAGCAATGTTCTTTTGATGTAAATATAAAAATACTGAAAGCGTAAATAAACTATCAGGCCAACCAAATAGTAATTATTTTGACATTAAACAAGATATCCATCTGCTTTCCAGTAAATAATCTCTGACAGCATCTAAAAGACAACAAGACTGGGAAGCATTCAGGGCACTAATGTATGCACTCCGTGAGGATAAAAGAAGCAAATGTTAGAGGATCAAAGAGTGCTCAGAGCAATGAGTAATGTAACACTCATCTCAAATTAAACAGCCTTCTCCATGATGGGATGCAGAGTGTGTCTACCCGACTTTCTTTAGCAGCTGGAAGAAGAGAAACAATATTCCTGGCAGGAAGAAGGCAGAGAGACAGCAGGGGCAGAGGCAGGGAAGGGGAGATGCAGAAAAGCACAGAGGAGGCCATGTTTTGCCTGGCTCCTCCTCAGCTCCATGGTGTGGGTGAGGCCCAGCACCCATTCCCAGTGTCACGGCCTCTAACCGTCCTTCACCGTCAGCTGTGGGTGTCCGTGCTTTAGTGGCAGCGAACTTATGGCATATGTGTCACTGTTTATCTTTTACGACAAAAGATGTTAACGTATGAGTTATTTTTCTCTAAACGAAAACCCCAGTGTTCAGGTTTAATTGCAGGGTTGGCGCTTCATAATAAATAAGGTGGGTTTTGGGTTGCAGGTTGGATGCTAGGTCTCTAAAAAGGTCGCCATCACTGCTTTAGAGCAGTAGTGTTTAAAATACTGGGGAATCTTTGTGAATAAAACATTGGCGCATCTATAGATAAAAAAGAAGCACAATGTAAACACAAAGATGTGCTTATAACTTCAGGCTACTCAAGGATTCTCGGAGGTCCACCCCTGTACTCTGAGCCATACCTGCGTCTTAGATCCCAGGAAAATAACCCCATCTGTAGAAAATTTTCAAACAATCAAATAGTGATGTCAAAGAAAAGCCAAATGCTATTCTTCCTACTAATTAGCTCTGGAATTTTTGCTTGTATTTTCAAAGACAAGCCCACAAAACACACAGAGATTAAATACCAATCTCAAGGAACAAACTGTAACTGAGAAACTTTATCTAACATTTACTATGGACTATGGGTTTAAGCAGTTGTCAGCGATTCTCAGACTTTGGTGGGCATCAGATTGCCTGGAGCTTGTTAAAGCACTGATTGCAGGGCCTGGGCCTAGCGTTTCTAATTCAGCACACTTGGGGTGAAGCAGAATTTACACTTACACCATTTTGTGGGTGATGAAATCATTACAGTTGTGTTTGGGGCTACATTTTAACTCTTTATTCACAACAGTTACACGATGTAGGTTCTAGGGTCATCCCAATTTACAGATATGGAAATCAAAACCCACTGAAGTGAAACAAGATTTTCAAGGTCACACGGATGAAGGGCCAGGGATTTAGTTGAGAGGTGCCGACACCTGCCTCGCAAGCATAAGGTCCCAAGTTCGATCCCTGGTACCAAAAACAAAACAAACAAAAAAACCCTCAAGGCCACACAGATGATAAGGCAGGTGGAACAGGCCTGGAGCCTGCCTCCAAAGCAAGGATTGGCTAATTCAGCAGGTACACAATCAATCTTTTTGGCTTGGAGACCACACATGATCGCTATTCCAGCTACTCAGCTGTGCCTCTGCATTGCAAAAGCAGTCATAAACAATACTTAACCAATTGGCCAAGCCTGTGTTTCAATAGAACTTTATTTACAGAAACAGGTGCCTGGCTGATTGCTGCTCTAAAACCGTGGTGTGTGTGTGTTTGTGTGTGGCTGGAGAGCAAAACCAGGGCCTTTTACATGCTAATGTAGGTACTCTATACCACTAAACCACACTCCCAACCCCTAGAATCTTACACTACTCTGGGCTTTCGATGTAAAATGGCAGTATCACAGCACAAAGCACAGGCAGACTAACACCTGTTTAGCACATTTAGTCCCATACCTGATACATAAGTGCTCAACATCTTTTTGTCCTCATGGTAATTACTGAGAATTTTCACTGTCACAAAGAAGTGCTTACTGTACCTTTGGATGTCTTCCAGCAATGGGATCTCTGGGTGGGCAGTTGGCTCAGCACCGCAGGGAGTTGGAAGGGAAGCTCCCAAGTCCGGCCTGAGAAGCTCGCTAGAAGCTGGTCACTAGAGCGAGCAACCAATCTGACAGGCAGTGTGCTGCCCTGGTCACTCTGACAACTGCACGCAGCTGTGGCACAGATACCAGAGGTTAACATGGGATTTAAGAGCCTCCGTCTTGGGCTCTGTGGTTGGGAGTGCTTTGGAGAAGAAGGGAAAGACAATTCAGGAAAATTAGTGGGATGGTCTGGAGAAGGAAGGGCAGACACCAGCAGTCTGAAAGATATTAGCAATGGGCAAGTCAAAATCTCTCATCACAGAAATCTCCAAGTATCCATTTAAACCATGTAAGAGGTTGTCGCCCATGTCGTTTCACTTATGTGCTGCTGAAAAGGGCCCAACTCTAGCGGAACCTGGGGACCTCAGCTCCACTGACAGTCTGTCAAGTGATTACCAAGGGTTACACCTTCATCAGGTGCAGCTTGCACTTTTATATTCAATCACAATGATCATCAGGAGGCACTTTGGAAAGCTATTCTTCCCCCATGCTTGGATCCCTCATTGCTAAAATAGAGGTAATAGTACTTACTACATAGGTTGTTCTGAGGATTTAAGTGTAAAACACTGGAATCGATGTCTCTCACATAGTAGGTGCTAAACATTATTGTAATTATTTTGTATCATCCTCCCGAAAGCCCTGTGGAATAGTAAAGAGAGATGAGTGCTATTATCCCATTTTTCAGGAAAGGAAGCTGAGGTATAGTCTGATTCCCTTCTTCCCAAGCTTGTGGCAGCTCTGGAAGTGAAAACTCTAACTACTACCTCAAATATCTCTTTATTGGCCAAGAATCAAATGATATTTTTTCTCTTTTATTTTCAGAAGTCCTTTGATATCTCCTAACAAAGCATACTAGGATCACTTTTCTAACCTAAGGATTCCCCTCCTTAAGTATGACCCTTCCTGTCATAAAATCTAGCTTTCCTGGAGCACAGATTGGACAGATGTGACAAAAAGGGGCTTTTGGCACATTTACAAATATCCCTCACTCAAACTTGAGAGGAAGAAGAACCTTTGTTTATTTTTCAAGAGTGACGGGGAAAATCAAGTAGGGCAATAATTCATAGGAAAAGCAAGGCATTGGGTATGATGCCCCCGAAATTAGGCAGAGCCCTCCCACTAAATACTAATGGTGGCAAGATGTATGGCATTCTCATGGTGTTTTCCAATCACAAAGCACTTTCACATAGATTAGTTCACTCAGTATCCTGACACCCCTGAAAAACTGACGGTTCCACAGATCTGTGGACAGGCTCCCGGAGGTGAGCCATTGTACAGCAGGCGAGCGGCAGTGAGAGGGCTCAATGCCAGTTCTTACACCAGATTAAAAGGCCCGAGGACTGACAGCCGGAGTGCTGGGGCTAGAGAGAGAAGTGGTGGAGGAGCTGCTTGCTGTGAAGAGAGCTTCTCCCCACGCCCCAAAGCTGGAAGTCAGGGAGCCCCACAATGGGGTGCACAGGGGGGCTCCTGCCCTTAGGGGCCCTTTGGCCTTAGTAGGGCCTGCTTTTTACTCAGGAGATGCTAAGTTGGCCTACGCCCAGGCTGCAGACCAATCAGACCCATGGATCAGGACACTGGTCCCGGCTCCTCTTTTATTTTTCCTTAAAGAAGGAAGGAGGAAAACCCAAATGATGGCAAAGTATGAAACAGGGGCAAAACGGCTCCCTCTTGTGGCTCTTTCTAGCAGTGGCAGCGGCGGTCAACAGCCTGAGAACACAGCAGTTTTTGGGGTCCACAGTCAGAAGACCATAAACACACAATGCTCCTCCAGATGCTGTTCTTCCTCGGTATAGAAATCATCACAGCTCTTATCTTTTAGAAGTTGACTTGTATTTCTCTCTCTCTCTCTCTCTCTCTCTCTCTCTCCTATATTCCTATCGTTTAACTCTTCTATCTTTATGATTTATACAGTATGACTGTGGCATTATTAGGCCCCCTTAACAGTTGAGAAAACTGAAGTCCAAGACATAATGTAAGTTTTCCAAAGTCTTACAGCTGGTTAGTGATTCAACCTCAATCTCACTTGACCCAAGTCCTCACCCACTATGCTGAACTGCCCGTCTCGGGAGGCTTTGTCACTGATGTTAACTGACCGTGATGCTGGCCACGACATACTGCTGTCACCCAGAGTGGCCATGCTTCGATTATCAAGATAATTTAAAAATACGGATCTCCAGTCCCCTACTTTAGAAGAGTCACACCAAAATCTCTGAGTAGAAGACTGATGAATCTCTTTTAATAATTCTCCCTGTACAATTCAGATGCAGACAGCTAGATAGCTTCAGTCCATGAATTGATGTCTGTAAACTACTGTTAGGTGGTTTTAATCTTTCCTGCTGGCCTCTTCTGTAGCTTTATTTGTTTATGAGCTCTGGTGGCTTAGGTCCAGGCTTCAGCTTTAACATGTAGCACAGGGAGAAGGAAAGCTGGTTAGGGGCTTTGTCTGGATAAGTTCTGATTGAAGGTGTCCAGATTGTGTTCAGGGGACTGTGAGATGACAGTGTCAACCCAAAATTGAGGAAAAAAAGGGGAGAACTGTGTCTTGGGACCTAAAAGCCACCACTTCTTTGAGGAAATAAGGCACATAGATAGAATAGCTTAAACTGAGCCTGTGGGTAGATACACAGAGAAGGAGAAATTCAGGCTTAACACTTAATATCACTCCATGCTATGACAAGTAAAACCAACATTATACAACAGTTTCAATGGTTTCAAGCATAATGGACTTTTTAAAAATCCAGGTAACAAATCAAGGCAGATGTTACAGGTTGGTTTGTGATTATCTTCCGTGAGGTGATTCAAAGACCCAGCTGCTTTCCCTGTCTGTGGTTTCCTGGGGCCCCCTGCCTTCTGCTTCCAGCCAGTGGAAGGGATGGTGATCACTGACAGGACCACACCCACATCTTAAAAGCTTTATTCTCTGGCCATAGGGATATGAGCACACACCCACCCCTAACAGAAGGGAACTGGGAGATGGAATCTTTGTCCAGCAGCCAAGAGGAATGTGGTATATCATAAGTGGTTGTGTTCA